GAAGGTATACTCCAGAGATTCAGTGATCTTTCCAAGGTAACAAAGCTTGTTTATGCTGAATCGGGATTCAGAACTTAGTATCATGGCAGTAGAATCCACGTATTCTCCCCACAACGTGAAGGTAATCTGTAGCCTACGTAGAAGATATTGAAACTTAATCCCTTCTCTGTGGTATCTGCTCTCTTTTCCTAGCCTCTCCCTATGTGATCCAAGTCAGCCAGTGCCCTTGAGATGTGTGGGGATTTTTCTGAGACGATGTATATTGGCTCTTCGACAGAATTCCTACTCTAAAGCCAGAGTCCTCCTTACATAAAACATTTGGCCATACTACTTTGGAACTACTTGCCAGCGGAGGATATAGTCCCAGTGGTTGGAGGGAATTTCGGAGGAAGTTGAAATTCTCTGCCTGTCAACACTGACCACTCCTAACAGTGTTGACAGACCTGGCCCCAGCCAGTGTCCTTGGTTAGACAGGTTTAAAGGCTAAGACTCTTTAGGAAGAACATGAAATAAAAGTGAAAAGAGTTCCAAGCCAGGAGAAAGTGAATTCTGTCCAGTGGTCTCTTCTTATGGATTTAAGGCCAGTTTGACACTTCTGTTTATATGCATAAATGTACCAAAAGCCATCCTGATTTTAGGCCATGATACGGAACTTTTCCCCATAAACAAAAAAACCAATTTTAATATGATGTCTTTTATTTTCGGGTGTTGAGGGTGGGAGGAGTGAGTTCAGTTAAACAAGGGATTTTCTATTGTTTTCTCTCCCAAGAGAACATGCTGAGAATGAAAGCACTGCTTTGAATTTTTCTGAGGCAGGAAAGTAGTTACAAATAGATCACTGGTGAAACATTGATGGCTTAAGTTCGTCACGTGTCAGTAGTATCTTACTTTCTGTAGCATAATAAATACAATGAAATGCCTAACATGAGTATTCTCGATAGATTTTTGCTGTGGGATAGGAATGAAACGGAAAGGATGTTTAATCTTGAGGAGAGAAGGCAAAGACAATAAAATATTCACTAATGCTTCCAGGAATGGGAATGTTTCCAAGGATGGAAAACCAGAAGAGGAGAAACCAGAGTTTGAAGAGATAATCTTTTTAAACCATAATTTAAGCTCGTATAAACATCCCAGCTCTTTGAAATATTTATCTTTCTGACAATACGGTTCTTAGCATGTTCTCATGAAAACATTTGTTGCCTTACCAAGTCGTTATGAATTTCCACATGGAGTCGTAAAAAAAACCTCTTTTCGCCCAAAGGTTTAGCTCTTTTGCAGGGTACACATATAAAATACCCATATCATACACACGTCCGTACAGCTTCATATTCCTTTTTGAAGGTTGGATCACTGTCTGGTCTTCATAGGATGACGCCAGAGAGATGAGAGCGGGTTGACGGGACAGGAATCTAAAAACCCAAAACCTGGACGAATATCTGACAGTTCTCTGTATTTTTATAGCGGTACTGGAATCAGAATATTTGAAATTAAAACTACTGGAAATACTTCGGGAAGTGCAGGACATGCGGTCACCTTGGTTGTGAGGTTTAGCTCTTTCCACAGATTTGGATCTCCTCTCCCTGTATTTTGCCATCTCCAAAAACAGGGGCGCCATCAATCTATTCCACAAGTTTACTGAGCATCTACTACTTATTTTGAACTGTGGAAGTTACAAAACCAGTTAAGACAGTTCCTGTGTTCAGAGAGCTTGAGGGTTGACTCAGCAGCAGTCAATATTATTTTTAGAGCAATGTCTTAAAACTTTCACGCCCAAATCCGAGTTGTCCTTCAAAGCAATTAGTTTTGGGGAGGAGGGGACTGCATACTTATTTCCTGTTTCTCCACCATCTTCTAACTGTTCTTTTCTTTGTTTTTATGTTTATTAATATAGTTCATACTTTGATTTTTCATCTCTCCATCAAGTATTTCCAGAATGGGTCTGAATGAAACCTTAGTCCCTTGTGGTGCTACATGGACAAGCTTGAAGGGTAAACTGTAGCACTTATTGAAAGCAGAGAACAGTATTTCAGGATTTGAGATGAGCGCATTAACTTCAACCTGGAAGAGGAGCCCACTCACATCCTGTAGATACATTTTAAGCAAGAGCAAAGAGGGAATGAAAACTACAATACTACAGGCTACTTCAGCAGTCTAAACCGGAATTTTGTCATGTTTTGCTCTGTACTTACGAGACTTGATTATTTAAAGCACCATTTTCCAAATGAGTGCTGATTTGGGTCCTGGAGACAGTTTGATGCCGTTGGTGACCACTGTCTCTCTCTTTTGTGTCCATCGATAGTTCATATTTTTGGCCACTAGATGGTGCTGTTTACCCTTGAAATAAAATGTATACATCTATTTTAATTGAGTCTTTTGCTTTTTATTTTGTTTATTGTTCCTTTGATGCAGAGATGGTGGAAAATCAAATTCCTTCACAAATTGGATCTGAGGTTTCCTGTCTCTCTACAGATGCATAGGAATTTTACTGTGATTATCCAGCCTGTAAAGTAATAGGTTTTCAGATGATCCTACCACTCAATACATAGTGTTAATTTATTTTGTGAGAAAGTACATTTTTTTCCTATAGAAGCATTTTATGTTATATGTACTTGGCTGATACGTAAGAGATTACAGTTACACGTTTTATGTGGCTTGATCTGCTGTGTCCTATTCTTGATTTAGGAATCACTTGGGAAGACAAAAAAATGCTGATTGCCGGGTCCTAGAGACCCAGGAACCTATATTTTAGTAAGTGCTACAGTGAGTCTGATGAGCAGACACGTGAGTCTGGATTAGAGCAGCACCAAGCTCTAATCCCCCACTGCAGCAGTGAGCATTTCTAGTAGACATTAATGTCAGAGCCTACAGTAATTCAAAGCAAAGTTCAAGAGAGTTGAGACCAAAATTTTGAATGCAGACAGCTCTTTATGTAAATATTGCCTCTAGGAGCCATAATGGATATAATAAGAATTATTAAAGAGAATGTTTGGTTACTTAAGTATGCTAAAGTTGGCGAGAGTCTTGCACAGAAAAGGCGGTCCCTGTTAGGACGCCTGAAGGAGCAAGCGGACGCCACATCACGCAGCAATAGCGCGGAGGCTCTCCCAGCTTGTGGTGGTTGGACAGCCATTTTGCCCTACGTTTATTTAGCCCCTCGCCTCGTAATACCTGATACTTAAACACTTTAGAAAGTTTTAACCAGCACGAAGGTCTTTGATCTTCACAACATCCCTTTGACAGGGCGACTGTCAGAAGAGGGACTAAAGAACAGACTAAGGAAAAGTGCCTAAGCCAGGAGCAGCCACCAGGAGACACAGTCTGGGGAGAGGCCGGGGGCCGGAGGTGAGGGCGCCGTCTCCGATTAGGCCCTGCTGCTGGGAGGCCTCCCCAGGAGGCCAGACGTTCCCGAACTCTGAGGCTCCACATGCGCTCTTGTTGACGAGGCTCTCGCTCCATCCTGTCCCAAGAACGGGGAGCTTTAGAAAATGGTTTCCTCCCTCTTCCCACCCTTCATCCCTTTCTCCGTCTCTCTCCCTCCCTCTGTCTTTCAGTCACACCTTATGAGTCATGGCCTTGATGACTGTGAGGTAGAGATGGGTAGGTTAAATCACAGTATGAGGATGCACGTGTAGTTGGATAAAATCTACACCAGGTCAGTTTACTTTCTTATCCTAGTTTGTCCTGGTTTAGAAGGACTCGGGCAGAACTGCTTGCTAATTGTGAAAGCTGCTCAGCAAACGCTGGCTGACTCTGTCGTTGACCTGAGTCTATGAAGTGTACTCAGCAGAGAAGGCAGTATGTTGTAAGCAGTCAGTAAGCTTGGCGTTGTTAACGGTGGTGGTGGGGATGATGATGCATTCTCTGTTATTCAGCTTTCTCACTAAAGCTAATCGCACAGGACGTTCAGCTTACCCCCCAGGATGGTCTTGGTCTCTGTCAGGCTGACGTGTGGGGTAATAAAACACTCAGATAGTTGGGGAGACTTGAAAACCTGATTCAAGAGAGAACCCAAGAGGCACGTCCCCACGCAGGCGTTGGCTCTGATGTCTCCTACTCCTGGAAGAACAGAGCTTGGCCAGCTGCCTCCCGCCCTTTAAGCCTTCCTTTCTCAGTGCGGCCTCACGCCCCTGCCCCGTCCACAGCTGGTCTTCTCGATCCTTCATCTTGTTCTCCTTTTCCTTTTTGTCATAATATTTGCCTTCTAATGTACTAGGTCATTTATTTATTTGATTGATTTTTGCCTCTCTGCACAAGACTGTGAGCTTCATGCAGACAAGGGTCTTTTTTTGTCACTAACATATCCCTCAGCCCCTGGAATAGTGCCCGGTAAATAGTAGATGTTCAGAAAATACTTGCTGAATGAATGAATGCTTTCCTGTGCAACATTCCCTGGCACCAATAAGCAATAGACGTAGCAGACATTCAGTCAGGTAGTACTAATTCTGAATAAATATTAAATATTCCTGAATGAAGATTAAGGTTTTGTTTTTTTTTTTCTATTAACCTTGATTGGTAAGAATATCTTCTAAATTATCACATGGTTTAAAGTATGAATCCAGAGTTGGAAGACATTGGATTCCAATAAACAAGCCCTGAATGGTTTTCTGGGGCAAGTTACTAAACTGCTCTGTGCCTTAGTTTCCTCTGTAAACCACCTCACAAAACTGTGGTGTAGGGTAAATGAGTCCATGCATTTCAAGCCTTAGAACAGGGCCTGGAATGTAGCAAGAGATGAATTAATAAACTGAATTTATAGACTCTTCACTCGTTTAAAAATAATTATATGATATTTTGCAATTAACTTATAAATAGGTCAGCCAGTGTTCAGAAGGAAAAAAAGCATCGATAAATGCACAGTTTGGGTATTTTCCATATTCCTGTTTTTATTACAGTGACAACACACCTAGAATGAATCAAACATTAAATTTATTATGTAATCTCTTTTCTTATAGTGTAACAGCAGTTTGAAAACAGAGCCTTTGTTTTTGATTTTCTTATAGACCCTCATATTAAGGTTTCTGGAAAGAAAGAAGATGTTAAGGAAGCCAAGGAAATGATCATGTCCGTCTTAGACACAAAAGTAAGTGAATGTTAAGGACACTCAGATGTCAGAGCCTTGTCTCTGCAAGGGCTACTTTATGCTGTTGTGAAAGAACCATTTGGAGAAGAAAAACCAGGAGAAAGTAATGGTGGGTTTTGAAATAAGCACGTGTGATTCTACAGTGGATTAAAGTTTAAAATTTGAATAGGTTCTCTCATGCTGGGTAATTGAATAATATTCTCCCCCCCCATATATATATATATATATATATATATATATATATATATATATATATATATATATATATATATAT